ATCCGGGGTGGCATTGAAGTCCCGTGCTAGGCCAATCAACTGGAGCAGCAAGGCGCAATAGCCATTGTCATGGACTTGAGCAGCACATACATTCGCAATGGTGCATAAATTCGCAATGCTGAGACCTGCACATTACCAAACTGAGATGTACATGCAATTCTGAAGCAGGGGAGTGCATGAAAGGCATGTGGTGGAGACGAACAACATTGTTTAATTTGTGACCATCCTTTGGAACTTAAATGATTAGCTTGCCCCCGCCGTGCAGCTGACATCCTTATATTGGCTTCTGGTTGCTAACCACTGTGCTGATGGGATGACCAGGTGCTAAATTTGTCATAAAAGTCTCACCTGTTTCTGGTCAGGCAAGACCTTCAGAATAGCACATTGCTCTTTCCACCTACGTCAGGTCCATCGCCCCATCAATGCAGGCGGTATCCAGTCCCTCTTCGCCCATTTGTCCCTCAACTCGTTACTTATCTCTACTCTCTCTTTTTTTTTTTTTTTTTTTTTTTTTTTTTACTCTCAGTAACATGTACCCGTAGATTGTCTTCGTAGTGACTTGTTGTAGCAGGACATCTTTCTCACTGTAGTTTTTTTGGGGAGGGAGGTACCACTCCTGGGGCTCCAGGTCAATTTCACTTCTATTTTTAGCCAATCTCAAGGGGAAATACTACTACTCCCTGCCCCATTTTCCCTTGCATCCTACCACCATCTCTATACATCTCATGATGCCTGAGGGCTGAGCTTCATCCGGGATGGTGTCCGCGGGAATTCCCATTGAGAGTTCGACTGAGTGTGGATCCTAGGGGGTCTCTGGGTAGGTGTATCATCCTTAGGAAGGGGAGGGTGGGCTGTCGCATCCAAAGTAGTAGGGTGGTTAGCCACCCATAGAGTCTGCTCGATGTGACACAGGGGGGGAATGACCGCAAGAGCATGGACCCCACCCGTGTTCAGTACCACCTGAAGGAATCGTTTGAGATCTTCAGTAGGTGCAGGTAGGTGTAGGTCTAGGTCTAGGGATGAGCTGCTGTAGGGCTCAATACAATATCATTACGACAGAATAGAAAAAATATGATGCCCCCTGAAGTAGACTGTTCTTAGGGGTCTTCACAATCCACCTCACCCCCGGAATGGCCGAGTACTATGGGCATCTACTGAGGAGAGAAGGTTAACCGACCCCACAATTTTCACCGTCATTTATAAGAAAACCAAAGGGCCACAAACAAAACAGGCCAAAAAAAANAAAAAAAAAAAAAAAAAAAAAAAAAAAAAAAAACCATGATCCCCACTACACTTTTCATGTTGGTGAAGGTTACACTAGGGGTGAAAAGTGAGGGTACCTGTTAACCATTTGTGAGGCCTCACATCCAACCTCTAATATGGCCTGGACCTTTAAAAAAAGAAAAAAGAGAAAAAAGAAAAGAAACAGCTTTACCCCTATAGCAAACAATGAAGCACACTAAGATGAGCAAATCCAAAATTGAAACAACTTATACCTCTATAGCGAACAACATGAAGCAGAATAGATTCGTTGTATTGCCTTTTCCTTGTACAGTCCTCTATCAGAGCACTGTACTGATAGGTTGTCTCCACCAGGGCGAGCTGTTGCAAACCCAATCCCCCAGCAGCTGAACGCCCTTGCTTTGGGTCAATTTCCCCCGTCGTCGTCTACCCATAGAGAAGGAATAAATACTGAGGAAACCCAAGAAACTTGCTCCATGCCGCTTTGTGATGACCCACCGGAGTTTCAACTAGCATGTGGTTCACATGCCTTAGGCCTTGAGGATTATAAAGGGATAGCCCATGCGAGCTTTTGTCTTCATACGTATGGTCATAGTCTATACTGCACTCATGTACGGCACCATGTCATGTCATGTCCAATTTGTTGACGGGCTGGAACGGGCAATGCCCCGATTCAACTAGCATGTGGTTTGCATGCCTTATGCCGTGAGGATTATAAGGGGATAGCCCATGCAAGCTTTTTGTCTTCATACGTATGGTCATAGTCTATACTGCATTCATGTACGGCACCATGTCATGTCATGTCCAATTTGTAGACGGGCTGGAACGGCAATGCCTCTACAATTGTGGTCGATGTGCCTCTCTGTTCCTAGCATGTCGGAGCCATGTAGCCTGTGACATCTGTCTACGCCATGCCATTTGATGCAGTATCTGTGACCGTGGGAATTGGATGCGGTGCTTCCACATTCCAACACCCAAACTGGTCCTTCCCGGTCTGTAGAGGTGGCCACTCTTACCATAGGCAACAACTGCTCCTCAAATCTTATGCAACCCACACTCGTGTGCCATTCTAGAGTGGTCTGCCCCAGCGGTCACTATTTAGAACCCTGTCAGAACTCCACCTCCCATGTCCTTCCTCCCTCTTATGGTGTATTACTCGTAATACATACGAATGAGCATCATTACGAGAACAGACAAAATATAAGTTGAAGATCTGAGAAGAAATGAAGAGGAATATACCTCCGCCTTTGCTCTGCCTCCTTTCAGAGTGTGCAAGTGGGCTGTTATGGCACACGGGTCTGTGGGTAGATCGCGCTCAACTACAATCAACGTGGTGGGTAGCTCGCGCTCAACCACAATCAACGTGGCGAGCCTTGTGCATGAGAGACACAGTAAAGGGGGAGCTGCCCGAACAAATGAAAGGGGTACCCCAAAGAAAGCAAATGTGAACACATTGAAGAAAGGGGTTTACATGCAGCTATTGTACTTCATGTTGATTTCTATTGAGGTGCAACTGTTGCATTGTTGGGTTGTCTAAACTCCAGGGCTTTCGTTGTCGGTCATAGGATTAAATATGCTTTGATTTTGAATCTGTTCATCTGGGTGGAATAGGTGCTGTTGTGGTGAATATTCAAAATGCACGCACAGACGCAGGCACGCACGCACACAGTGGGTGTTTTAAGCAGCAGCGCTCCTGGTGTTGCATGGAGAGAGTTTGGTATGATTTATGTTGCCTGAACAGTCGTGCAAGCACGTGTTCTAGCCATGCGCATGCTAGTGCATTCAGATGAATACAGATCCGTAGTCGGTAGCCAGAGGTACAACACGTCTACTTGCTCATCGCATTCGGCGTGCACCACCTATAAGATCATACATCACTCATTCAGTCCTTCCAGCAGTCTCCCATTGCACAATATGTACCGCATGTCATTCAATCTCACAATATTTGTCTGCCAAACACATTCGTACTAGTCCCGTTTACCCACCCACACACATTCACGACGAGAGAGTAACCCGGCTCATTATATCCATAGACAAGGTCACAGCAAGAAAGTAACCCGACTCATGACCTGACTCATGAGATGCATCGGACTACAGCTGTACGCATTCACGACCAGAGAGTAACCCGACTCGAGACATCCATAGACGATTCCGACTCCCAATGACACATTGTGACCCTTACAGAAAACAACGCTGACACAGCAGGTGATAGAAGAAAACGTGGTTCCTTTCGACTATGTTAGAAGATTTGTCGTCAAAGCTCACAGATGATGCTCGGGACAGCGTCCTGCCCTCGGATCCTGGCAAAACGCCCAACGCGTTTCTGCTGTTGCCAGTGCCAGCGTCCTCATGGGCAAATCGAAAGGTAAGGGTCACCTACTCCTGCTGCCTATACATGTTACTTCTTTTTTTTATTTTTATTACTTCTACGAATTTTGAAAGTAAAAAACGCCCGTCTTCCCGCCATTACGTTACCCCGCCCATGCTCTTTTAAGCTTTCTCATACCATTTATGGTGGCTTTGTGGGCCGACACAGAGGGCTCTCTAAGTTTTTTCAGACCATTTGGAGTGCGGTGCTTTCTTGCTAGTGGAGCCTTTTGTGTTGTGGTGCAACTAATTTTTGTGTTGGGGTCTATACACTCCAGGGGCCAGACAAAGTGAAAGGGAGGTTGTCTAGCCATGGAGTGATGGAAATCATGTGAGTGAGTCATTTGAGATGAATACCATTAGTGCCATTGCTTTGCCTTATGCCCTTGACTCCTTGATAAAGCATAATATATTTGTGCAAGTGTGCTGCTGCGGCAGCAGACGGGTGTGTGGGCACTTGCTGCTGAACCACGCAAACGTGGGCAACCTTGAATATTCTCCTTTTTTTTTTTTTTTTTCACAAAGTCCAGGGTGTTGTAGAGGTCGGTGTCTGGACCGACGACAGGTACCTATCTACAGTCAGCAACTAATTTATGGGACCCAGACCTTGAATATTCTAATATGTTGCCTATCTATACCTTTTTCGTTTTATGGATGGTTTGTGATAATTTGTGGTTGGAATGAGGAGAGAATTTGGGGATCAAGTACCTTGCGCAATAAGGACAACAGAGGCCTCACACTCACTTAGCTACACCCTCCACAGTGTGATCAAGTCCTAGAGAAGTCAGGATAGTGAGCTTTGTCAAAAAAGTGGTGTATGGCGTGGCTGGATCGTGCAAAGTTCTGAGGAAGTCATTCTCCATCTCAAGCAGATGCACAATCCCTCCGAGGCTGTATGCCACATACAGTGGATTTTACAACTACGTACATGAACCTGCCACACGACAAGATACTACTTTTTTTTTTTTTTTTTTTTTTTGAAAACGCCCCCTTCCAGTGATAGTGGTGCTGGTAAGAGCAGACACCACTAGCACCTGGGGAGAGGCTCCATCTATTGGTGGGGAGCATCAACTGCTGGAAAACGGGTCCAGCGTCCCTTATACAGACTGACTTTGGAGTATATCAGGAAAAGAAACGTCCTAAATGTTGTCCGTGGAGCACATAACTATGCTTTGGTGCGGATCCTGTAGGGCAGAAGGTCAGTACAGATGTACATGATTGCGGGAGGTCCTCATTGTGGGGAGTGGGTTACTTCACATGGGTTGGACACCCTCTCAGTATTAGAAATAGAGCAGCATTTGCGTCTCTAATACTTATTGTTATACAAGGGATGGCACTCTGCGCCATCAGGTGGTTGGTATCCCTATGGGCACTAACGTCGGACCAGAAATTGCCAACGTCACGCTTTATTGGGTCGAAGCACAATTCATCGATGATCGTCATCAGCGAGATCTACGCATTGCGCAAGCATATGCATTCACATACCAATGCATTGATGACATTCTATCTTGGAAGAAACATCACCGCCCTCTCTTGCTTGGTATGGTCTTGGGTGGAAAGACACTACTGAGCAAGATCGGTCATGTCTATTCTTTGGAGCAAGAATCCTGGCTTGGCCACATCTCTCACTTCGCATTGGCATTTTTGATAAGGTTGAGGCCTGGACATTCCCTCTCATACGTTATCCAGTGCTTCCTCCAATGCCCCAGCTCATCAGCCCGCAAGTGTGCTCACAGGACAGCTTACGAGACTCAAGCATAGCTGTAACAATACCACTGACTTCCATGCAGCACGGACTTCCCTGACACGACGTATGCTTGTTAGGGGCCATCCTCCCAGTGTCCTGGCTAGAGGTTGGACTGCATATGTGTAAGCCCGGCAGCGCTGTCTACCTACTCATGTCACACGGCTCTCGAACTGGTTTCGCCGCATGGCTGGGCAATTGCTCACCCACTCCCGAATGCCAGCTCTGTGTGCAGGTCCTCCACACAACCGCACACAATAGATCACCACCCACTACCTAACACAAATCTTTACCACAAGCAGCATCAACCCTCCACACAATCAAATGCAGCGGGCCCGCCCTCTCCTGCTATTCCTGCTGAAATGGCAGGCACTAATGCTGATACAAAAACTCAGTTGGAGACCGTGCCAGCCACAATGAACAATGTAAATGTTACCGAAGTGGTTGCAAGGGATGAAGGCCAGCATCCTACGAATACGATAACTGCTGCTGCTGCTGAAGGTATACCTCCTCCACCGCCACCACAGCCACCGCCTCCTCCACCGCCACTACCACCACCACCACCACCACCACCACCACCACCATCACTACCACCATCATCATCGCCACCATCACCATCATCACTACCAGCATCCTCTCAGTCACCTGCCTCTTCTTCTTCGTCTTCCTCTTCCTCTTCTCCCTCTTCTTCCTCCTCCAATACCCCCTCGTCATCGAGCTCATCACCAACGCATTCATGGTTAGATCGGTCGTTACAAAGGCCCTGTCCGCCGAGGCATCTGTTGTCAGATTGGCCGTTACAGATGCCACTTCAGTGGAGATGCTCCCCGTCTCCACTGCTGCCTCCAAGACAGCGGCCTCGTTTGTCCTTTAACAGCATGATCACCACGCCCCCTGCAAAGGTTTGAGATGTGCTCCGACAACATGCTCACAACCGTATGGAACGACATCATCACTCTTGATACACACTAGCCAGGAATAGTACACATCGAGTCCGATGCCCTCAATGTAGTGATGATTTTTTCAGTGTTGTAGACCTGCGAGTGCACCAGACACGAGGTGCAACTACCTGTGCAGCATTTGCATGACTAGTAGCCACTTTGAGCACAAGTGCGGCCGATCAGCTCCCGCTTCCTACGTCTGACCCACCCATTTCTCATCCCCCTAACCCCACCTGCTCCCTTGCCCCAATTGACAATAACCCACCATTGTATTGCCCCTTTCCTTGTGCAGTCCTTTCTTCGCTTTCCTTTGTGTGTTCCTCCATGCTGCTGCGGTGCTTCTAGAAGTGCCAGATGCAGCAGCTTGCTATCCTCTCGGCTTCCAGAGCTCTGCTGCAGCTTGTTACAGCCTTGATGTCTTGCTACACATCATCGTAACAGCTCCGAAGTCATCGATGACAGTAAAGTCAGAGTCCTATGGGACATCCTCTAAAATTGGAACGATACAGTGAAGATTAGCACGGCCTGGGCGGAAGGATAACATGCGTAAATCGAGAAATGCCGCCCCCCCCCCCTGCCCCCCCCCACATCAGTTATATGTTGAGTCTCCGACCCACTAATCATCTGAAACCAGCCTGCCAGGTCCAATGCTCCCACAGAAAACAGCGGCAGATGAACCTTTTCAGTCGCATTGAGCAGAACGTGTGGGAAGCCGGCTGCTTACGACTTCAAAACTGTACAGATGATCGTCTCGGCAGCCAACGAAGACTCGGCCACCTATCATCATGGGAGAAGAGAAGATGTCTTCACTCAGATCAACACTTGCTGCTGGTTCCATAGAACTCGATGATTCTTTGTCAGACAGCTCAGTATCTGTTGCCACCCACAACAACCTAATTCCACCATCTGCTGTGCAGACACAGGCCAACCTGCGAAGACGGGCATCACAGAGATGGTATCCATTACTATTGAAACAACATTATCCATCCTCAAATTCCTCAAACACATTTATTCAATACTTTCTGTGACCCCCTAGCAGGTTAACGGAGGGCTAAAATTTCAGCGCTTTTTTAATGCTATTTATACAAGAAGAATCCAAACTTCCAAAGGTCTTTTTAACCAAACTTGGCAGCAGTCCATAGGGTGCACACCATATTAGCAAACAACGGGAAGAAAACAAACAAACAAAAACAGGGGGAAACTATGAGGGAAAAGTGCTCTTGAATGAAAATTTGCATTCAGAAAATCTTCAGAATTTTCAGAAATTTTAGACATGGTCACCGGAGACAATTCCAATGGACCAAAAGACTTCAGAACTTTAGGAGCTCTGGGTCTGTCTGTCCGTCTGTCTGTCTATGTCCGTCTGTCCGTCTGTCCGTCTGTCCATCTGTCCATCTGTCTGTCTGTCTGTCTGTCTGTCTATGTCCGTCTGTCCGTCTGTCCGTCTGTCCATCTGTCCGTCTGTCGATCTGTCTGTCTGTCTGTCCTTCTGTTCGTCTGTCCGTCTGTCTGTCTGTCTCTGCCTGTCTCTGTCTGTCTGTCTGTCTGTCTGTCTGTCTGTCTGTCTGTCTGTCTGTCTGTCTGTCTGTCTGTCCGTTTGTCCATCTGTCTGTCTGTCTGTCTGTCTGTCTGTCTGTCTGTCTGTCTGTCTGTCTGTCTGTCTGTCTGTCTGTCTGTCTATCAGCTCTATCTGTGTCTGTTGTGTGTGCGTTGTCATGTCGCTATACACATCTCCATGATCCTCCACAAACAAAAGAGCATGACTGTGCCAGACTGTTTCCTTGGACTTTCACTGACTCATCAGTGTGTGTGTTTGTGTGGCAAATCTGTGAGACAGAAGTATAGGTTTCTAATTGATCCCCCCCCCCGCCTCNTCTCTCTCTCTCTCTCTCTCTCTCTCTCTCTCTCTCTCTCTCTCTCTCTCTCTCTCTCTCTCTCTGTGTGTGTGTGTGTGTGTGTGTGCGTGTGCTCCCCAAAATCACACTTTGTCACTCCCAGGAGACATGTACAAAGGACAGAATTAATGTACATGAAGTTAAAAACAACTGGTAGTAACATGGGTCACTCCTCTTGGCTCTCTCGGTGCGAAGCACACACTCTGCTAACCATCATGGTATGAACTGCGGAGGGCTCGGCGAAAGATAAAAAGTTAGAAAGATAAATGAATCGGAGAAGTTTTGTTGGAGTGTAGGGGACTGTCTTGCCCAGGGGATGCATGGGTGGATGGATGCCTACATCGGGCTGTATTGTTGATGTTTTAGGAGTACGGATTGATCGATAAAACAGGTATTTTAGGTGCTGTACAGCAAAGATGTATTAGAAGTCACAGCTCTGGAAATTATCTTTATGACCAATGCAAACAGGATTAAAAAAGCGCTGTACCTCCTCGGTACTGAATGGCACAGACATGTGACTGTTGATAAACAGATCAAGATTCAAATCCTGTTGTGCGCATTAATAATCTTAGGGAATTTAGGAGCTAAATAGTCTCCTTTTGTTTTATGTTGGGGGACAGTTGTATTCACTACAGTGATTTCTTCTCTCATATATGGGGGACTTATATATCCGCTATAGTATTTTCTTCTCTCATACATGGGGGACAGCTGTCTTCTTCCCATATATGGGGGACAGCTGTATTCACTTAGTATTTTCTGCTCTCAATATTGTGTCTGCCTCACACTACCTACCTACCTACCTCGTGTTATCTATCCAGATATGAAGTATGGCCACCTCTCTCCTCTACGTACTGGTCGACCCACAAACCCAACAAGGAAGGGCAATATACGCATCGGCGGCGTAGTACACTAAGGGTTATGGGTCGGGCTTATTTTTTACTTATCCCCTGAAAGAGCCATTTGCTTGGGTAGATCTCCTAGCCTAGGTTGAGCCTATCCCCTCAGGGTCGAGCCTATCCCCTCAGGGTTGAACCTAACCCCTAGCAAAGGATGGAAGGTGACCACCCCTGCCACGACCCACTAGGGGGATTAAGCCATCTTATCTGCGGTGGTGGCCCGAAGTGCGCCACAGGGGCCGTGGGGAATCCAAAGGATGACGCGGGGAACCCATGACCTCCTTTCGTGCTCAACCAACTGAGCTAGGCCGCTGGTCCTCATTGGAACTTACAGCAGGTGTTTTCATGATGGCAAGGTGTTTTCTCCTACAATTAGTTGGTTTTAAAGGTTTATGGAGTTTGCGCCAGTGCTGGTCCCCGGATGGACCGGGGGACCTTCGACCGACCGGGAGCCTACCGGTCGAACCGGGCGGTTCACTGGCCCGGCAGGCCCCCGGTTCGATTTGGCGCACTCTTTTTGGGGGGTGGTACGGGGGATTTTCGGGCGTCCCCGTCCCCGCCCAGCCTCTGGGAGGCCCCCGCCACCAGTGAAAACAAAAAACGGGCCCTACCGGACCCCGTTTTCTTTTGAGAACGTGCGGCCAATCTCCGCCGCCGATCGGCGCAGATCGACGGTGGAGATCGGCCGCGCGTTTCCAAAAGAAAACGGGGTCCGGTAGGCCCCCGTTTTCAAATTTGAAAATGCGGTTGATGTCGACCGCAGATCTGCGGATCTGCGGCCGAAATCGACCGTGTTTTGAAATGTGAATCGCGGCATGGTTTTGCGCTGCCTCCGCCCCTCCGCCCCGCCTGCTCCATGCTACAGCAACATCACACAAAGTTGACGTTGTGCCATTCAGCATGCACGTCGACGTCGTGTGCTGCCACCACACGACCACTGCCAGCGCCCCGTCTCCAGCCCGCCGTCGATGTCTCTGTGCAGCTGCTTCGCCGCAAAGGTAAGTCTACCAGTGCCCCTCCTCCTCCTCCTCCTCCTCCTCTTCTTCTTCTTCTTCTTCTTCTTTTTCTTCTTCTTTTTCTTCTTCTTCTTCCTCCTCTTCTTCTTCTTCTTCTTCTTCTTTTTCTTCTTCTTCTTCTTCTTCTTCTTCTTCTTCTTCTTCTTCTTCTTCTTCTTCTTCTCCTCCTCCTCCTCCTCCTCCTCCTCTTTCCTCCTCTTCTTCGTCTTCTTCTCTTCCTCCTCCTTGTCCTCGTCCTCATCATCTTTTCCCTCCTCCTCTTCTTCTTGTTCTCCTCCTCGTCCTCTTCTTCTTCATCTTTTTCCCTCCTCCTCTCCTCTTCCTCTTCTTCTTCTCCTCCTCCTCTTCTTCTTCTTCCTCTTCCTCTTCTTCTCTTCCTCCTCCTCATCCTCATCATCTGTTTCCCTCC